AAAAAGTGATCTGTTGGACGCTTCCCTGTTATGAGTTCTAACAGAAGCACCCCGTAACTGAACACGTCCCCCTCTGTTGACGCCCGTTTTCCTAGTCCGTACTCTGCATTCAAATTTAGAGAAGGAAGATGGAGTTTAGACTACTAATCAACAAATAGGAACGTGAGATCCCACGTCTCTCGTGAAGAGAACTAAGCGTGGGAAAAACTCGAAGTGGACAATATCGGTTAGCTTTGGGCTTGGTCGGTTACAAATGATATTAGAGCCAAACATCTAGCGATGTGCCAAGAAGCTGAACTCCGAAGGATGGTGGACACTAGGCGGTGTGCCAGTAGGAGGTTGGTTTCGAAGGGGGTGGATTGAGGGGTTCCACGATCGATGGAAACGAGTGGCAACAAGGACGTTCGGCCTCAAAGGAAGATGGATTGTGAAGTCCCACGTAGAGCAGGAGAGCGGTGTGCCAATAGGATGCTAGGTCTCGAAGGGGGTGGATTGAGGGATTACATATCGATTGGAGAGGAAATGAGTGACAACAAGAGCATTGAGCCCTGAAGGAAGGTGGATTGTGAGATCGCACATAGGTTGGGCACAAGAACGAAGCATTTTTATAAGGGTATGAACCCTCTGCCTAGTAGACGCGTTTTACAATCTTGAGAGAAAGTCCAACGAACACAATATCTACCAGCAGTGGGACAGCTAAATAAGACAATATCGGCTAGAAGTGAGAAACTACTAACAAAATAATATCGGCTACAATTGGCGTGAGCACCTACGTGATCAAACCCAATGAAAATGGCTACTTAGTAAGTAATATGGTTAGTAAACTTACCAGGAGCTATGTAACCAACAGACCCACAAAGCAAGCCATGAGTGGAACTGAAGGAAGCTGAATCTTGCTGAGAAGCAGCACCATTATTGTCATTATCATGATTGTCTTCTCCACCGCTCACTAATCTGGCAATGCCAAAATCAGTGACCAAAGCAGTCATGTCCTCATCAAGAAGAATATTACTAGGTTTAAGGTCACAATGCACCACTCTAACCGGCAAATGGTGGTGCAAATACGCCACTCCTTCAGCCACATCGCTGCAAATACTCACCACTTGAACCAAATCAATCTTACACCAACTGGGTCCTTCCCCCTGCCTTGGATACAGGTGACTCTCCAAGCTCCCATTCGACATCAATGGAAGAACAAGAGCCTTAAAATCCGGCCGGCTGCAAGTCGTTATAATCTTCATCAAATTCCTATGCCTTGTTCTTCTCAAAACTTGACATTCTCTTTTAAAACTCCCTGAAATTTCCCCTGCTGTTCTTAATGGATTCAAAACTTTGACAGCGATTTTGGTGTTGTCTGGCAGAGTTCCCTTATACACATCTCCAAATCTCCCCGACCCAATTAGGCTGGAGGAGCTGAATCCGCCGGTGGCTTCCACTAGCTGCCCGTATGAGATTCTTGGGTACTTCCTCTCTTTTCTCTCTGTTTCCTGTTCTTCACGTTCTTCTTCTAAATCCCATTTGTTGAAAACTGCAAATCGTTCTCTCATTTTTGTTCTCACAGCTGCAAACGAGATCCCAATCATGCAGAACACAAAGGCTGCTGAAGAAGACATGAGAATCGACAGTATACGGCGCTTGTGTTTCTCCCTGCATTTTGGTAGGCCATTGATCGACCCACATAGACCATTATTCCCTTGGAAAGATGATATTGTCAGCCATGAAAACACCCCCTTGTTTGGGACTTTCCCAGAAAGCTTATTGAAAGAAACATCGAGCGTTCGGAGATATTGAAGTTGGCTGATTGAAACAGGCAAAGGCCCATCAAAGGAGTTATCAGAAAGATTGAGGCTTTCAAGCGCAACGCAGCTTCCAAGCTGCGATGGAATTGGGCCTGAGAGATTGTTGGAGGACAAGTCAATAGCAAGGACCATGTCCATTTTGCTAAGCTCCAATGGCAAAGGCCCATGTAAATGGTTGCTTGAAAGATTCAAATAGAGTTTCAAGCTTCTCAATCCTGCAACTTCAATGGGAAGAACCCCTGAAATTTGATTGCTAGAAAGGTCCAAAATCTCCAAGTTGGTGCATTTCCCGAGGCTTGATGGGATTGTACCTGAGAGATTATTGGCATAAAGAAGCAATTTTCTCAACTGGGAAAGATTCGCCAAAGCCTCTGGAATAGAACCAGAGAGGTTGTTTCTAGACAAATCAAGAAGACCCAAGCGGGGGATTTCGCCGAGAGAAGATGGGATTTCACCGGAAAGTGAATTGTTCGACAAATAAAACCTCTCGAGATTGGTCAATCTGGAAAGATCTGAAGGAATGGTTCCATTAAGAAGGTTACTTGAGAGGTTCAAAAGGGTTAGATTTCTAAGATTTGAAATGGAAGGAGGAATTGCACCATAGATACGATTATCATCCAAATGAAGCTGTGAAAGATTGTGATGAAGATCACCAATAATGGAAGGAATCTCTCCACCAAGACGGTTTCCAGCTAACTGAAGCTCTTGAAGATTTGAAGAATTCACTAAAGAAGCGAAAAAGGGTTGGAGATTTGAGTTATGATCATGGCTAATGAACTCATTATCAGGCAAGTAAAGGTACTGCAACAATGGCATTTTCAGAACAATCTCAGAAGGCAGCTCCCCTGTAAGCTTATTAGAACCCAAATCCAGCCATTTCAACTTGGTTGAATTTGAAAGCGCCAGAGGAATCTCCCCCTCCAATTTGTTTGACCAAAGCAAAAGACACATCAAATCCGTCAAAGGGCATTCATTCCTTAAAGGGATTTCGCCGCTCAATGAATTGTTGGAGAAATCTATGTATTTCAAGGACAAATTAGAACCATTGCAAAACAGAGGAATTTCGCCTTCGAGTTTGTTGCTACCCAGATCGAGAAACTCCAATTTCTGGAGAAACCCGAGCTCTGTGGGGATATTTCCTGTCAGGTGATTCCATGATAAGCTAAGTTGCTGAAGATTAACGAGAAAACCCAACTCCATTGGGATTGAACCTTCGAATGAGTTTCTTGAGAGGTCGAGAATTGTTAAGGAAGAGAGGTTCGACAGAGATGGAGAAATGGTGCCTTTGAGCGACATGTCGCTTAGATCAAGCTTTTGAATTTGTTGAGTTGAATTGTTGCATTGGATACCAACCCAGTTGCAGAAATGAAGCGTGGAAGATGATTTCCAATCCTTGAGATAGTTCTGTGGATCGGAAGCAATCCCATTTCTGAAGGAAAGCAATGCAGCTTTCTGAGGAGCGCCATTAACGGAGGCTTCTTCTTCTCCAGAAGCTCTGTTTTGTGAAAGAATTGCCAAGAACTGAAAGAATAAGACGCAGAATTTGCAGAGCTTCATGATTGAGTATGGAGTTTGAGTTGGAACAGGGAAGAGAGAGAAAGAGAGAGAAAGAGAGGGCGTTGATGAAACAGAGGGCATGAACAGGGGATTTAAGAAGGGTAGCAAAGGAATGTAAATGGCTAATAAAATAGTAGAGATCATATTTGACTCTAAAATTACTTTTTGTAACCAGTTGGAATTTTTATTTTCTATACAATTTTCAAATTTTAAAATTAAAAAGAAAAAAAAAATAATTATAATATTTTGTCCCAAAAATAAAAATAATAATATTACTGTGCCTAACAGCCGTTGAGGTAAGGGAAACAGGAGGCTTCGTTTCATATGGCGCTTGTGATGTTTGACTTTGACATGGATGAATGTGCGATGACCACGTGTGCAAATTACACACGCCGCGTAGGATAAGTTTAGGCTTTGAATATATGTGGTGGCAAACACGTCATCACGAGCAGAACATGCCTAACCCTATTTTATTAAATAAATAAAATAAAAGAAATTAAAAAGACAGCAAATTAAATAATTATTGAAAACAAAAAGGGTAAAATGGTGGAAATGTGGGGGATGGGAGTAGTGGATTATGTGCTGTTAAGAAAAGATAATACGATTTTGTACTTTATAAAAAATATAATACTAATTTAATTTTGGCTTAAAATTGGGCCGGCTTGGCTTGTTTGGATTTTGGTATGTTTGTCGGCTGCTGATCTCAGCTGTAATCATCATAATTTTACCTACGTTTAATCTTTTTCTTTTTACTGTTCACTATTCTGAGTTTACCAAATTATTACCAAGTAATTACCTTGAGATCTTTTGTCTTATTTTGGTCCATATTTCTAATTCTATTTTCGGTCAGTCATTGTTATTAACTTAGCATGTATTTTGGTTTTCATCTTAAAAAAAAAAAAAAAAAAAATGCAAACCAAGCCTAATAACTTTCATGACCAAACATCGAACTGTCATATCGATGATTAGAGTAATTGTTTTGGTTATGCTACATGAGTTATTCACAAACCCGCTCACACTCTTACTCAAACTAGCATATGAACACATTCAAAATCATTCTCTTTATCCTTGAAATAATTAACAACAATACCAAAATAAATATTGAGTATAAGTGTAATAGCTCAATCCCATCGCTAGCAGGTATTGCCTGCTTTGACTCGTTACGTATCGCTGTCAGCCTCACGGTTTTACGTGTCTGTTAGGGAGAGGTTTCCACACCCTTATAAGAAATGCTTTGTTCCCCTCTGATCTCACAATCTACCCCTAGTGGGGCCCACATCGATTGGAGAGGATAACGAACCATTCCTTATAAGAGTGTGGAAAACCTCTCTAGTAGACGCGTTTTAAAATCGTGAGGCTGATGACAATACATAACGGGCTAAAATGAACAATATCGGTTAGCGGTAGGCTTGGACTGTTACAAATAATACTCTATCATATACAGTAGATTCGGCCGAAATGAGCTGACCTAAGATTGGTAGTTTAAATTCCTTAAACTAAGAGATGAGGAGGTAATGGGTCGGATAAGTAGCAACTGAGAAGAATAAGAAATAAGAAATAAAAAATAAAAAAAAAAAGCCACCACAATAAAATAGATAAAGGAAGGCCTATAAATAATAAGCATGAAGAAAAACTCAGTCCTTATTGTCGTCCCAAATGATCATTCACATTTAGTTTAAGAAATTGAAAAGGAAAAAGGTAAGCTTGGAAGGATGGGTTCATCAAATGTAGCTTCCATTTTGAAAAGCAATCATAATTCACACCTGTTCTTTTCAACATAATTAAACAATAATAATTTGTACCTTCTTTTTCAAACCTCCCTAATACACCAACTAATGTCAACTCAATTGGTCAATTTTGTGATTTTTAGACTTCTTTTGGTGCATATAATTCGAGTGTTTTGCTTTAATCTCTGTACTTTTGTAATTAAATTCCAACAAGTTTTGATATTTCTAAATAATTGTGCAAGCATGTGAGCTCATATAAATTGTACTGTACCTTTATTGATTATATATAACCTTAGAAACAAGTGTGAACGGCGGAGAGAGCAGTTTTTTGCGGCTTTGAAGGCAATTTTGTCTGCCAAATCCCAACCTGCCAAAGCAATGAGAAACAACATCAGGAAAGCAGCATTAAACCAATGGTATATTCAGCATTTTCTAAAGCTTCTTCCTTACAATTGTTAAACTAACAAGGATTGAGCTAACCTTGAAGAAGTTTATGATTCTACCATATGATATGACACTTGTTTAAGAGAGAAAATATCAATAATAAGAATATTACATATTATGAGCTAAACAGTGCATGAAGACTATTACTTATCACACTTTTGTTAGTGGGAAAACTTGGGGAAGTTCAGTAATTATATTTTGTTATGTGAATCAAAACAAAATGAGGCAGATATTGTTGAGATATTGTTGAATACAACTATGTGGGAAACACTCGCACTAAGACCAATCAAGAAGAGAATACAAGACACTTTATAGAATATTGCTACTTTGTATTGCTTGGGATGATGAACTAAATAGGGTGGAGGGTATTTATACTATATAGTAGCCAATCTATTCCTAAAATTTCTCAACGTTTTTTCTTAAAATACCTAAATCATTTTCCTAAAATCCCTAAATCATTTTCCTAAGTTTATTCCTAAATCCTAAATCATTTTCTTAACATAAATATAGTCACTCATACCATGGTTGAGCTTGACTCTATTGGGATACAATAGTTGGGCTTGACCCTATTGGGATACAATAGTTGGGCTTGACCCTGTTGGGATACAATAGTTGGGCTACTGATGATATTTTAACAGATCGTTGAAATATAAAGGTAAAGAAACAACATTTGATAAGTGGCAGGGAATAACAAACGCTTACCAGCATATGTTTTGAGCAAGAGTTGGGACAGGAAGATCGGATATATCCGGGGGCTACGTCGAGGGAGGGCGAACACCTGTTTCATTGTTTTGGCATTTCTGAACTTCAATAGTTCATCTGCTTCATCCACAATGACCACTTGATTGCCTCTAAGTATTGATCGTTTCTTTGTAGTGCAGTGATCATGCTAAGAAAAGTAACCTTATCCGGTTCTATCCTCTTTTCTCTCATTTCTTTCACCAACTGAGCGGCTTCTTCAACCATCCCTGCTATTCCATATGCCTTGATCAATGCGTTGTAGCTATACAGATCGGGTTCGAGTCCACATGCTTTCAGTTCTGTCAGCACTTCCTCGACATCGTCAATCCATCCTTGTTTTCCATAGATGTTGATCATGATGTTGTAAGTGTATTGGTCACGTTCAGAATTCGAGTCCTTTAATTGCTGTAAGACTTGTCTGAAATCATCCATTCGGCCTTCTTTGCCATAAGCATCCAACAGAGAATTGTATGCTTCAAGGGAAAGCGAAAAGCCATTAAATTCCATTGTTCTAACTGTGGACGACATGTTTGCGAAGTCCTTGCTCTTTCCAAACGCAGATATCATAGTATTATAAGAGATTACATCAACCAAACCTTTTTTCTGAGCCAGCAATAACAGTTTTCTGGCCTTGGAAAAATGCTTGGACTTCCCATAAACGTCAAGCATGACATTTAAGGTCACGGTATTTGGAGCAAACCCACGTTGAAGCATTTCATCAAAAAGGCTGGAAAGCTCATCAACAAGCAGAGCACGGGAACAGCAATTTATGACACAATTATACATTTCCTGATCCCAAGAGACGTCACTATTCAGTATCCTATAGTACACATCTTGTAGCTTATCTACCATGCCACAACGTTGATAAATACGAAGCATGTCCCGGAACAGATATATGTCTGGAACAATGTCCTGCTGTTTATCCATCAAGTCAAGAACTGAGCATGCATCTTCCAATGATCCAGCTTTGACATACATTCTCACAACAACACTGAAGGCAATCAAATCCAAACGAATGCCTGAAGATTTCAGGCTTAGATAAAGTTTCTCCCCGTCAGAGAACCTACCCATGATGCTGTAGATATCAATCATTGTGCTCGTGATATGCAAGTTCGGTTTGTTTTCATGTTTGGGTAGTTGCGTGTATATCTTGATTGCATTCTCGAGATGGTCTAACTCTTTACACGAACAAATTAGCAAATGATATAAATTCTCCTCAAAACGAAGATCATTCCACTCTTTTTCCCTCAACACTTTCAAAGCATCATCCACTAAACCGTGCTTCACATAAGCCATTACCAGAATCGAGCAAGATGTCTGGCTGGCCAGAACTTTCCGATAGAACGATCCTGTCAAGAGGAGAGGCACACTTTTTATTCTTCTAGCCTTTTCATAAGCTTGTAAAACATTTCCAACAATGGAAGAAAGCCGGCATCCAATCTTCAGCATATCATTAAGAGTTTTAAGTGCACCTGCGTCATCCTCATGTTTGGCTTGAAGATTCATGAGGGTGAACAAGTTAGAGGCATTCGGCATATATCCTTTTCGCTTGAGTTCCTTAAAGTACCATTCTGCCATTTGGTAATTACCAGCTCGTCCCCAACCTTCAATCATGGAGCGATAAGTCGTTTCATCAGGTTCTACACCAGAGTTCTTGATGCTCAAGAACAGGCGTTGAGCAGCATCCATATTCGATGCTTTTCCATACCCAGTAATCAACGTATTATACGCAATGATATTAGACGAAAACCCATGTTCTTCCATCGAGGCAAACACAAGTTCAGCATCCTCCATTTTACCTTGCTGACAATAAGCATTAAGCATGACTAACCAGTTCTCTACATTCGGTGTTACCTTATCTTCTTGCATTAATCGAATCACCTCTTCTGCTTTATCGTACAAACTCAAACGCGTGTATATAGTAATCATAGATGCATATGCCGTTTCGCAGACAATCCCAAAGTTTCTCATCTGATTAAAAGCAAACTCTGCCTCCTTGAGGCTACAACTCTTCTGATAGAGGCCCATAAGCATTCCAAACGTTGCAACATTGGGCAGCACTTGCCATTCCAACATCATTTGAAACCATTTAGCACCCTGCTCTACAAGCCCCGACTTATAACAAGCATAAATAAGGGTGTTAAAGACCTGAAAGTCCAATTGATCACTCGACTCAGCTCTAACTTCTCTAATTAGCTTCTCCGCAGCATCCCAATCTTGTTGCCTGCCCAACACTCGAAGAATCAAATTATACGCACTCACATTGTGTTCTAATTTCCGGTTGATTCTCATCCACTCAAAGAAACCTAGTGCTTTTCGATCATTACACTTCTCTAACCTTTTTAAAATGGCATTGCAATCCTCTAAACTCAAATCGGACGATATAGTGGAGTAATTGACATCCAATTCGCCACCATGAAAAACAATGCTATCGAAAACTTTCTCACTACAATTCTTACTGAAACTAAAATACGAACCTGGCGCTCTCTTTGATGGCTTCTTGCCGCCAAAATACTTCTTCCTGGTGTCAATTTCATCAACCGCACATTTCGATTCGTAACCGCCGGATGTCTCCGGCTCGACCTTAGAAGGCTTGTGAGCCCTAACCAGAGAGTAAAGTACGAAGGACTTATTGAGATGAATATAACCAGTGATAGAGAAAACAGAGCAGCAATCAGAGAGCAGAGATGAATTAACCGGAAAATCGAATTTCTTAGAATGGAAAGAATCTAGAGAGAAGGAGAGTTTCAGGGAGGCCATGGCTGAAGATTGAGCTCGCAAGTCAGAGGTCAGCACAACGCATGGTGAAAACAAACGAAATGCAAAATTCAGGTCATCGATAGTATTGTGAAACGAGGGTTTATGAAAATGATAATCACCATAGCTTTTGGGATGGAGGAGATAACGGAGATTGAAGCAGTGGAGGAAACTAAGCGATCAAAGGATTGTCTGTTTCCCCGACCTCAAACAAATATCAGCGGGGATTCAACAACTGTACATACAAACCCCACCAACCCAATCCAATCCAATCTTATCCAACCCAACAGTCATTCTGAATTTATTCCGGATCGGCTTGACGAAGTGTTTTTAAGTAAATTTTCGGAAAGTATTGGTGTTGGAATCAGAAAAATTTCAAAATAATTTCAACTTCTGGAGTTCAAAATTTATTTCAATATATATATATATATATATATATATATATATATATATATATATATATATATATATATTTTTTTTTTTTTTTTTTATAAATAAATTTCAATTTAAAGTTTATGAAAATATGAGAAAATTTTAAATTTCGGGTATTATAAAATAAAATAATACAACGCTTCTACGTTTGAATACTAACAAAAACTGAATCTCTTCCGCTTTCAAGAAGAGGGTGGACTTTTGAGCGACTCTTTCAACTACCGCTTAATCTCCCAACAAGTTGCTCAGTTTAGCAGATCTTCAACTTTCAAGAAGAAGACAAACTAATTTTTAAGAGCGAAGACTAAAGAACCTACTAAAAAGATAAAGTCCTAGCGAAGACTGATTCATACTGATTCATACTCAAACAAGCCTTCGACTTACCAGAAGAAGGCAAACTAGTTTTTAAGAGTGCTACTAAAAAGATAAAAGTCACTAGATAAAGTCCTAGCGACTCAAAGAAGCCCAAATTTGAGTTTAACCCACTTGAATGTATAATCAAATCATTCTGTGTACAATGGCTGTGTACAATGGCTGTGTACAATAGCAGTGTTCTGTGGTCAATTGTAGGCTGTGATGTGAACCTAATAAACGAATTTTTACACACATGGGGGTTCCTCCATCCGGAACCCCCCATACTATCCAAACACCATGGAAATTAGCTTGCAACTAATTAATCTTGACCTTCATCACCATTTGAAATGTCAAAAAAGAACTTAGGGAGCGATGCGATTCGAGGAAGCTGCAAAAACAAATCACCAAATGAATCTTTCCTTGACATAGCTGAGGCTTGTATGCTTCCAGGAACATCCTTGTTAACTTCTGGATGAATGTTGATATGGTCTCCAGTATCCCTGCCATCCCTCCACTCTGTAGCATCCTTGAGTCGAACTTCCTCTTCGTGATTGTCAACAAAGTTTTCGCCACTGGTTTGGGAACTTTGAACGGCAGCAGGTTCTTTCTGCAAAAGGCAACAGAGAGAATTGACTCTTGACATGACTGATACCTCAGCAGGAGCTGCTGATGACAATTGATCGTCACTCAGCAAGTAATGTGCAATTTCATTCAGCATAGATTGGTATTCCTCCGAGCCATCATCAACAAAAGGCGTCTTTGTAGAAGCCATTTGTTCTGTAATATGATGTCCAATGTGGCTTACAAGGTCACCCATCGACATGGATGGATGAATCCCCCGAACCTTTATCTGCTCCCAGTTTCTCGGCTTCCTGCTAACTTCAGTACTTCTATTCTCTTCAATCTCATGAGCGTCCATCACTAACGTACAAATGGTGACATTGATCAGAGAAAAACATTGGGAAGCAAGCTATAGAGAACGAAGAAATTATGTAAAAAGAAAAACTGGAGGGTACTCCAAAGAAAATTCGCTAAAACTGGAAATCGAGACAGTAACATTCACAAATACTAGATGATTAATGCAAAGCACGTCTAGGATGCTATCGTCGCGTACATGCTTTTGAAAATCCAAGGCTAGTATAATTGACTAATCAGGGAAGTCTGATAAATTTAAAAGAAATCGAGCATGCTATGACATTGATCTACCTGGCACCCATCAATATCATATCTTCCAAAGATTAAATGCAAGGTAATTACTAATGAAAATGATCATTTTTCAAGCCCAGACCAACTTGCAAGTTTATTGTACCTGAACTGGGGGAAGGCACCTCCACAGTGAAAGGTTTGAACACCATTTGAGGGGAAGACTGTTCGACCTCCAATGATGACGCAACAGATGATGAAACTACATCCTGGAAAGTAGTAAGTAGAGATTGATTGTCATTCTCTGCTTGCTCCACGGTCGTAAAAGTAGAGGCTGATTCAAAATATGGAGATCCTGACACGATCTCTCGTTGTCGGCTTAAGAAGTTCAGGCGTGAATCGCACTGGATGAGCTTTTCGAAATGCTTGTTTAGAACCCCATGTGGACATTGCAGAAAATGCTGCCTATACACCACCGGTCCAATTTACATTAAATATAATGCCCTTAATCAGTCCTAGCTAACTATCCTACAAGATGAAGGCATGCTCGAACAATTACAAAATATACTTCTCATACATGTTTGCCATTTTCTTCCGTCAAGTCTCATTTAAAATAATCCGAGCAATGAGAGTCTCAAGAACATAATTAGGCAACTTTCTAATCGGACAAAAAAAATCGTTGAATTAAAAAGAATGCAAGACATGATCCAGCAATTGAGATGCAACAGTCTTCCAATATAAATTGCATGTATCCATACCAAAGAAGTAATGGGGGGAAAAATGCCATGGTCAACAGGAGAGATACAATAAATTCTGAACCTGCAAACCCAATTATCATCTACCAAGATTAAAGTAGTGAAGATTTACCTCTGTATGCTGGCCTCACCATCAGTAAAATCAGCTGCTGCTTGCCACAAGGTGTGCTTCCTCGGTTGAGGGTTGGTCTCCCTGAAAAACAGAGGCCGTCTAGCCAGCTGCACTAACCAAGCACACCAAGACTCAAGTAAATCATCAAACACAAACTAGAATGGAAAATCCAAAACTGATGTTCATAAATAATCATGAAGTCAATACCACAACGTTTAGTATAGCAGGTCCATCCTCAGGACAATTCGCTTTTAAAGCCATAATGTCTGACCATTGTATCTCAATTTTACTTTTGAGTCCACCCTCGAGGATTTCCCAGACGATCTTATGCTTAGCATAATAACACTTCGCCACTAAATCACCTTCATGTCTTGATTTATACTGCATCATAAAATGAGTCAGCTGGAGACATGCTTTACAAACTCAAAAATAGTAAGGCATTAGTATCTAATAATTTAATAAAGACCTCCCAACGTCCAATCTTTAAAAATGAAGCTGGGAAGTTTGAAGCCTTTAGTTTCTCAATGGTACCCGGCAGGGTAGCCTCCTGGTTGTCTTTTTTAACCACAAACTCAAAAGTTTCACTGTTTGAAGCTCCAGCCACTGTAGACGCACTCTCCTGAGAAAGCTTCATTTGAATAAGATCCAACAGGGACGGGCTCTTCCTTAGCATCAAACCAAGAGGACTAGGCTCATCGAGTGGATTATTGTGTGAAGAGGATGCATGTAATGTGTCAGGTCCCCAAACAGACTGCTAATCCACAGACAACATCAATTGCTCATTAATTAAATTCTATTCAGAAAGAACAGAACAAACATTTCGATCTCGCTCACTCAAACAAAATTTTGCAACAGTTATTAAAGCGGATTAAGATTAACTAAAACTTATGCAACTGTTCACTTCTCATCCAAATCCTAAAAACAAACCGAATAGACACAAATGCATTCAGCTCAAGTAGTTTGACTATAACCTACAAATGTTCAAATGAAAAGTCGTTTCACCAAAATAGCGTACTAATTTGGAAACAAACGGCCATGAAAATTTTCCATTTCTTTTCAAATCCGCACCATTCATCGAAACCAGATAGGAGCGAAACAGATTAAGAAAAAACCTTATGAAAATCGGGCTTAAGCCGCTTGTCCAAGTGATCATGCTCCTCGTGGAAGTAATCAACACACTCCCGCTTCGCCGCCAATTTCTCGGGATACAACGTCATCTTGGAATTCACGAATTGCACCATTGATATTCGAAAACGCAACAAGATTATACGACAGAAAGGAGAAGAAATGCGGGAAGGAGAGGATCACGAACCCTAGAATTAATAAGGAGGAAATTAAATTTAGAGCGGAAGTTGTCGTCGGCACTTGGCGGCGAGGAGACTGCTTATATCAACACGTGCCGAGTTGAAATTCCCATGTAACTCGATCTTCGATCAAGATAAAAGGAGGGGAAATTACGGAAGTAGAGTTGGTGCATTGGCAGAGAGATGCGGGAAGGAGGGGTAGAGTTGTAAACTCGATTGACACGTCAGACAAAATGGGAATATACGTGGGAAAGCGATGGATTGCGTAAACAAAAAAAGACGGCGACGGCGACGGCGAGTGGATGGTTTTTGAAGGATACGTGGCAGACAACCGAGAGGAAGCTTAGTTGTTAGGTATGGCCATGGGTGTTGCCTTTTTTACGTAATCGGCTGACACGACACGGCTGTTCCATAAGTAATAATATAATGTCCCACTTCAACCTTTTTATATTCTTAGAAAATTAAATAAATAAATAAATGAGGGTAAAGTATTAAAGATATATATATATAAAGTACAATTTTATACTAATTAACGTGTATTATTTTTCTCCAACGTGGAATTTCAGCTCTTTATAATATATATATATATATATATATATATATATATATTAAATACAATAGTTGTTTCATTTATCGAACAAGATTTAGATATACCAATTTTAAGTAACAATCAAATTTATTTGATCGAGAATTTAATATCTTAAATATGGAGATTTAAGTGAACAATCATCAACTTGTAACGCTCCACTCACCAAGAAGCTTGATTTCCAGTTGCTAGCGGTTACGGACACATTATATTTTTACATAAAAGCCAGCTAAAAATAACAAAAATATATATTTAATATTTACGATAAAGTCATGTACAACACAAAATTATAGATAGTTTCAAAATATGATAAAGTAAATAACACAAACGGTGAGATCTCACATTGGTTAAAAGAGTAGAACGAAACATTCCTTATAAGTACGTTTATAAGGGCGTAGAAACCTCTCCTTAATAGACACGGTTTAAAATTGAGAGGCTGATAATCGTACCTAACGGGTCAAAACGGATAATATCTACTAGCGATGGATTTAAGCTATTACACAAACAAACTCGGATCTGGGTAGGATCTCTTACGTCTCCAACTTGTCTATGCTCTCCGAACAAATGCATCTTTTTTGGGATTGAAAAACAAGTTTAAGCACAACAAATGCTAGTATATAAACAAAAAACAATCATATCCCTTAATGAGAATGTCTTCAAAGGGACGCAAACACAAGATGGGGCTGGACTTGAGCACAAGAAGGTGACAACACCTCACAACTTTAGCCTAAAACAGAAGCTTCAACTTTGAGTCAAAAAGAATGGTTTAAGCATGGCCAACTTGCCTATCCATCCCATAATTGACAAATGAGATAGCTCAACCACCACATCAGTTTTAGTATCATTTTTAATGTAATGTAACGATCAAAGCACACCGCTATCAGATATTGTCCTTTTGAGGCTTTTCCTTTCGGGCTTCCTCTCAAGGCTTTAAAATGCGTCTGCTAGGGGAAGGTTTCCACCACACCCTTATAAAGAGTGTTTTGTTCTCCTCCCCGACCAATGTGGGACATCACAATTAAATTCCTTTTCATAAAAAAAAAATGGATGCATCTAATATAAACAAAAGCTAGAGAGATCAGAATAACTACAGTAAGATTATGACTTCACCTGTTCTCTTGGAGTGATGATTTTGATTCTTCTTTGAGGAAGTAAATCAAAGAAGAAATCAAATTTGTTTATTGTATAAGTAGAAATTAGATATGATTACTTTGTTTATGAGATGAAACAGAGCAAACAGGGCAGACATCCCAGATCCTCATAATTTATAGAAGAAATAAAGCTCCATCTTTGTAGCCTATCAAGTTAGCAAAAAGAAAGAGAGGAAGGGAATTAAAAGAACGCGTACCATTATCAACTGATGAAATAAATTAGAGATAAGATCTTTAAGCAATCGAATTTTTCCATTTGATGAGTTCTGGAAAGTTGAAAATCGTTTGATTACACATGAAGTGAGTAGAGGCAGGTGTAGTGGGGCGGGGTGATGACCTCTACTTGGCCTGCCTATTCACCTTCAGGTACGGCAAAGCACCAATCACATTATCGTAGTCACTTCGGCTCACTGGGTGCTGTGTTAAGACGGAAACCAATCAAAGAAAACACTCGGTAACATAACCAGATATACAAATGCTGAGAACTAGCCAATTTTCCTTGCACAACAAGACTTTTTTGGTATTATAAAAGGCACTTTGTTCATATAACAAAATCATAGGCATGAATATTGTTGGTAAAATAGTTCATTAACCATAAGATCTATATGCCCACAGGGGAAATCAGAGGACTCGACCAGTTGGTAACAATCTAGATCGAATCAAATTTGAACAAAAGGCTAAAGGAACTGCCTTTGTTGCTCTCAGACGCAACCAATGAATCAATAACAACTAGGCTGTGTACTACATTCTGAAAATTCAAAACCAAAGCTATTTTCTTGTCAAATAACTTGTCGCATAGTGATTGAAAATGGTGGCTGGATTGGCTAAGTTTTGATCCATTTATATAAACCCTCTCCCAGAAAAACTCTCAAGGGTACAAGTTTGGAAATTTCGCATTACAGATACAGAATCGTAAAAATAAAAACAAGTAAAGATGGCATACCATTTTGGAAAGCCGTAGTTTCCTCTTTGTGTTCTTCTTGTACAGCAAATGCTGCTTTCCAGCTCTCCTCCGAACGATTTTCCCTCGACCCGTTACTCTGAATCGCTTTGCTGAAGCCTATCCAGTCACACCAAACAATCAAATCAAAAGGAAAAAGAAAATTACAGTACAATACAGAAAGAGAAGACAATGTTAGGAGTCACTCCCATCCCATCCACAATTATATGTGATATTGTCTACTTTGAGCATAAGCTATCGTAGCTTTACTTTTAGTTTTCTAAAAGGCCTCGTACCAGTAGAGATGTATTCCTACTTATAAATTCAGGATCAACCCCTTAATTATCCGATGTGAGACTTTTCCCCTAACAATCCTCAACAATCCTCCTCTCGAACAATGTACTCTATAGAGCCTCTCCGAAGATGTATGGAATTCTTGAACAACTTCTCCTTAATCGAGACTCGACTCCTTCTCTAGAGTCCTCGAACAAAATACACATTTTGTTCGACTCTTGAGCCACTTTTGACTACAAGTTTGAGGCTCACAATTTCTTTGTGCGACATTTGAAGATTCTATTGACATGGCTAAGTTAAGGGCGTAACTCTGATACATGTTAAGAATCATGACTCTCCACAATGATATGATATTGTCCACTCTTCGTGACTTTCCCCATAATGCTTCAATACCAATAGAGATTATTTGTTATTTATAAATCCATAATCAACCTCTATCTCCCCACCATTCTCAACAAAAATAATAATGACATTAGCCCCTTCAGTAAGTGTCTAGAATTGGGTACCGTAAGGAGTACTTGAAATTCAATCCCATTCTCGAATCATAATACAAATTCGATTAAAACAAAAAACAAACATATCCGACTATCTAGAAGACTGAAATTAACTTCAATTAATCAGAATCCAACCAGAATTGAACCATACAAAAATATCCCAAAAATACACAGAGAATTGAGGGAAATAGAGACCTTGTGGGTTTTCATTTTGTACCCTTTGGCAGCGACGACAGTGAAGGGAGTATGAATTCGAGAACTGGGAGCAATGTGAAATGGCTTCTGAAGTAAAGCGACTCCAAACCTGGAAATGTTGTGGGAGGAACTAAGCCTCAACGAGTACGCCTTGTTCGACGACGGGAGCCGGACGGAACTACGAGAGACGCCAACTGATGAGCGAGAGCACAGTGGGTAAAACCTAAGACCAAAGGACGCCGTCGCCGAAGCAGATGCCATGGCTCCTGAAGCTTGGAAGCGTCTCGTCTTTCTCCTTCTTGCCAATCTATACGAGCCTCAAACTCGGCCTGCCGTGCGGATAAAGTGAATAGCTTTTATTTCATTTATCATTTCTTAATTTTGAAAAAATAAAAATATTTTTAGGGCCAAAATGGGACATGCACATTGGTCATCCTCATATTTATTATATGTTACAATTTTTCATTTAAATTTTTTTTTAAAAATTATACTTTAACGTTTTTGATATAATCAAATTAAATATATGATTTAGAAACATGTTATAATTTTTACAGATATTTTTTTATGACCAGAAGAAAAGCTGCCCTGAGCTGGTTGGATATCAATTCATTATCTCAATGTCCTTTCAATCATTGGTTTTTATTATTTTATTTCTACCGTTAATCAATGAGCCAATATATTAAGACACTGATTTTAATTCCTTATTTTTTTATTAATACACAATTTATTCCATCTATTAAACTTTAAAATGTCATTTTTATTTGGTGGTGAAGAATTTGAGCTCGGCTAAAAAAATAGTGATTGATAAAGTGACACTTGTGAATAATATGAACTGAACTAGTTGTAGGTGACATTACTAGACCCATCGACAGTCTTGCCAAGAAAGAATACCAAACCAATGTTAAAAATGGATGATAAATTGAGCTTAAGACTGATGAAAAATATAAAAATGACAAACAAATATCAGCGATCCGTTCAAAAAGGATAACACTCTATTAAAGAAAAATAAAATATTTTTATTGATTCAGTAAATTTTAATATATATATTATATCTCGTGAGATCGGACAAGATTTATGCAAGTTGACCCTAATTCTTAATAAATATAATTAGCATGATATGGAAATATTAATCATTTTATATATGGATATAAATAAAATTGGATGTAAAACTATGAAATATTAAATGTAGAATAGCAATCAAATTAGTAAAAGTGAAATTATTCCGTCATTTGGTGAGGAAGAAAACAATATAAAATCCCGTTGTTTGGAAGAGCGGTAGAAAGTGATAGCGGAAGAGGGAAGCTTCCAGGCAATGAAACCGATGAAAGACGGCACAAATGGAGAAAGAACAACCGTCATGGCCGGCTCCAATTTTACCACGAACACTTCTAAAATGGAAGGTTAAAGACAAGGTAGAAGAAGCCATCCACTAAAAAACCGATTGATGAAGCATTAGCAAAATAAGAAGAAAAAGATAAGGTCCATGGCCGGTTACCTTACAGCTAGCTCTATATTCAATTGAACGCCAGCCCTAACTCCACTCATCATCGCCTCCGATCTCGAGATTATATAACCTATCTCCTTCCTTCATAACTTTTATCGTCAATTTTAAACTTCTTGGAAATTTCACAATGGCGAAATCCACATCGCAACAACTTCAGATTAGAGAATCGAACAACAATGTAAATAAAAATATTGTAATGAAGACGAAAACAAAGCGAACTCGGAGGAGCGTACCGAGAGATTCGCCTCCTCAACGAAGCTCCATTTACCGCGGCGTTACTAGGTTTTATTCATCGCCCTTGCTTGCTTCTCTACGAGCTTCTGCTTCTTCTTCTTCGTCTCTCCCTGTCTCTGTCGATTGATTCTGACTTCGATTGCGCTTCTGTAAACCCTAGGCATCGATGGACGGGCAGATATGAGGCTCATTTGTGGGATAAGAATTGCTGGAATGAATCGCAGAACAAGAAAGGAAGACAAGGTAATTATATATTTTTAAAAAAAATTAAATTACAAGTTTTGAAAAATAAATAACCCGGCTCACTCGGTTTCGTTGTCTCGGCTTGGCATCTCGGCTTGGCGTTCGCTCAGTTTATCTTGGTAAGCTATTTATTTATTTATCATACTTAGAATTTAATAAATTCATTATGTATTTTTTTTTAATTATTGAATATATTTATTAATGAGTTTTTACCGTTTTTTTGGTGGTAATTTTGAAAGGTGCATACGATGACGAGGAAGCGGCAGCCCATGCGTACGACCTTGCAGCACTTAAATACTGGGGCCAAGAAACCATTCTTAATTTTCCGGTGATTTTTTTTTTCTCGGCTTCCTAAAAGTAATTATAATAATAGTAAATTATATTTAGGGTTAGAATTTTTATAGGTTATTTTGGTAATTTCAGCTATCGACGTACCAAAAAGAGCTGAAGGAAATGGAGGGACAGTCGAGGGAAGAATACATTGGGTCGTTGAGAAGGTTTGGATTGCTTATCCCATAAGATTATTAAGGAAATTACATTATTTTGGATCGTTGTTAGGATGTATAGACCTCCGAAAAAAATCTTATACCAATATCGTTAATTAACGTTTAATTATTAAACTTCCAGAAAAAGTAGCGGGTTTTCTCGTGGGGTTTCTAAATACAGAGGCGTTGCTAGGTAATTTCTTTTTATAATTACATTTAAATTATACAAAATATAATTAAACTTTTTTTATTTAATAAATGAGCTTAATTTGAATGTGCAGGCACCATCACAATGGTAGATGGGAAGCTCGAATTGGCAGGGTGTTTGGCAATAAGTATCTCTATCTTGGAACATATGGTGTGCTATTTCTTCCATTTTTATTTTGTAATGAAACCAATGTAATAACGCTACAAATATTTGTTTTATATAAAAAAAAAAATTAATATTTTTTATATGTACATTATACATTATTTTAATTTGGATATGGTAGTTTATAAATTATAATATTCATAAAATGCAATGGATGAATTATACTACTAAAAATTCATGCATTATTAATTTGATTTCTATCATTGTAATTTAAAAAGTATATGAAAAAAGGTACAGGGAATTAAATAATTAGAAACTAATGTGTTGATAACTAAATCTTCGTAGCGACGCAAGAAGAAGCAGCCACGGCGTACGATATCGCAGCCATAGAATACCGTGGACTCAACGCCGTCACCAATTTCGACCTGAGCCGTTACATTAAGTGGCTAAAACCCTGCAACGACGTCGTTTACGCCAGCGACCACACCCTCAACATTGACTCTGTCCTCCCAAGCCCTAAACAAGAACTGGACCTAGGGCTCTTCCCGGCGGACCAAAACCAAAGCAGCACCGATTCGGCGACGGCGGAACCAATTGCCTTACCTCCATCCCACAGACCGACCACCACCACCACCACGTCAGCTCTCGGCCTCCTGCTTCAATCTTCCAAGTTCAAGGAAATGATGGAGATGAATTCGGCAACGGAGTGTCCGTCGACGCCGACGTCAGCGGAGAAGCTCGAACGGCGACGGTGCTTGTTTCCCGATGATGTTCAGACTTTCTTTGCCTGCGATAGCTCGGGATCTTACTGCTATGGAGAAGCGGATGATGCAATTTTTAGCGATTTCAACTGTTTCGTACCGCCGCCGCCGTCGCATTACGATTTTGACGATTAGAAGAAGGATAGAAGGATCGAGGAGAATAATTAACGAAGCATCTGCAATATTGATTTTAGATTTAGTAAGAGGACTTTTTAACATCTGCTGATTAAAAATAATTCTTTTATTTTGACTAAAGATTCCAATACCCATAAAAATTTAGTTACGAATTTTTAATACATTTTCGTGTTCTTGAAGATTGTTGGGAAGAAGATTATAAATAAAATAAAATAAAATAAATAAATAAAAAGATTTATAGGGGCCTTGGGGTGATGACGTGGCAAAAAATTTGTCGGTATCTGCATCAATCAGCAATAGTACTCATTTGGTTGGAACTTGGAACGAGCTGGCAAATTTTGAAAATTCCCGCGTACTCCATTTTTCTCCTCCCCGCCCCCACGAACATTAGCGATTGTTTGGTGGCAATTTCGTAAATCCACTCAAGTAGTTGGGTCTTAATCGTAATTTCAAGAGGCCTCTCCTCCGTGAATATATATAATTTCAGTTTTCCCGCCCAATTTAGTCTCATCTACTTCCCTCCTCTGCTACTTTTTTTGTTCGCTGATTTTTCCACGAGAAAAATGCCAGACTTGGGTAATCTTTCACTCTCTGCAGCTCTTACGCTCACTCGGTGCCCTAATATCAAACCTGTTATTGATCCTACTGATATTACATCTTCGCTCCTCTGCGACGATTCTGTTAAATCTCTGCCTACTGGTAGTATTTGGGGGCAGGGGTTTCAATGTTCATTTCCCAACGATGATGAGGTCGGCAGAGGCTGTGGGATTAGGGTTTCGAGCCAGAGCGGAGACGCGTTGGACAGATCTAAAAGGCATTATGGAGGGAAGAATTTGGAAGACCATGTGAAATCTTGGGTTCGTAGAAAGCAAGAGTCCGGCGTTCCCGAGTCTCGTTGTTCATTTCCATTTCTCGAAGGCGCTCGGAAAATGGTTATTTATCTTCCTGTTTTATTTTTGAGTTTTACATGCTACAGTATTGGAGCTGGTAGATTGGTCGTGTTTAGCATGTCTTTCTTTGATGGAGTTCCGTTCTTCTTGTTTCTAGACAAGGAACTTTGTTTTTATTTAAATTAATAAGGGTTGAAGTTCTAGATGACATTTCTGAAGCCGAATCAAATGTTTTCGTGGAAGTGTATATTGAAGTAGTTCATATACCTTTGAGAAATGCTTGAGGAAATAATTTGGATGTAGAGCGTAGCAATTTTAGTTTGAGTAGCTTATGATGAAAATTCTTCCCCCACCGATGTTGATTTTAACTGCTAGTTAGTTTCTTTTTCTTTAATTTGTTGTAAGTGGACGTGTAGCTGATAATTGAAAAGTAAGCACGGCGCTTGAACTTCCTTCTTAAATTTTATGTCAATTAAATTGTTCCTTCTACTGGCTGCTCCAGGTAGAAAAAGAATGTTTGTGTTGCCGGAGATATATATTTCCCGGAGAGGAGGTCGAATGCAGTATTCGTGGCTGTGGAGGAGTTTACCATGCAATATGTGCCAAGGAAAGCTTGGGATTCTCAGGTCACAGGAAGTTCAAGTGCCCTCAACATGTAATCTCATTCTATCATCCGTTAAACTACATATTTTCTTTTCATAGTAAAACACAGACACAAACATCCTCTTTAACCATACAAGGCGCCCTTCTGTCTTCATTACAGCACAGCCCTCAATTAGCTTAAGCTGCATATTGACAATACACTTGCCCTTTTCATTTTCCTCAAAATTTCAATACCTTCTGATAAGATGACCACTAGGATCATCTAATGCACCAGTAGGGGCTTTATTCATCTTAGCTTGAGTCAGTCGATTGCATTTTCTTGAACTTTCCCCTCTTTCCTCTTCTTAAGGAACTAAATCCAAATTTCTTCTAAAACAACTACTCCGTATATTTGTTTTGTCTATTTATTAATTATTATTACCTTTGTTGTTATCATTATTTTTTAGCTGAAGTTTTGTCTTTTGAGATTGAGTTTTTTAGATTTTACATTGAAAAATACTTATATTATCATAATATTTAGAATAATCAAACCCCATTGATTAGAATTAATCTGAACTATAGTTAGTTAAATATAGTCGTTGAGAAGATACTGATCATTGAAGTCGTCAGTGTGTATTTATGAATATGGTCGCTTTTGGTTGTTTATAAATATGATTTTATCTTTATCTTGCGGTAGATAAATGGTTCTATAATTTTCGAGAATCTTGCTGCATTCTATGGCATTGGAACTCGTCTATGATATTTTATAATTGAATGTAGAATTATTGTGATTGCACTTCAACACAGTTTTTATCAAATAGTTGTAAACATCAGCTGATATGTGTGTAAATATATGCTTTTTTGGGAAACAGGAATGCTTTATATGCAAACAAAGATTACATTGGAAGTGCATACGCTGCACTATAGCATCGCATGATAAATGTGCACCATGGCCAGATAAAGTGATGCATTTAAATAATCAACCTGGAAAAGCCATCTGCTGGAGGCATCCAACCGACTGGCGAGTGGACTTAAAGGTCAATTTTCTTCTATCCTTTACCTCCAAAGTTGTATTTGCTTTTCTCTTTGAAGATGCCTTCTCATGCTCAATGTCATTGATAAATCTGAACCTTCTGATTTGAGTATGCTATATGTTATTCAGATGTATGCCCGTATTTGAAATTATAACTTCTCTGTGGTCACTACCAATTGGAAAATGAAATGATCGCTTTTTTCTTTTGAATTTAAACTTCTTATGCTATAGTAGCCTGCCTATATGGATGTTTCTCTTTACAAAGTGCTTGTAAAATAATGTTGCATAGGTGATTTATTGTCTTTAGCTGTATTGTGCAACTCAATCTCGAGTGACTGGTAATTTCTGAAAGTTATTCCTGATATGAAGCTTACTATGTTGTTTTATGTGGCTATGATGATATTAGCTTTGTGACACTGTATGTCATTCAGGCTTAGAACGTCTTTTCGGTTTATTCATTTTGAAGATACCTAGTTTTAATGCTTGTTTATCTGGCTAGTTAATCTTGTCTTTGACCTCTCTCTCTCTCTCTCTCTTTTCTTGTTGAAGTTTTACTTCTGCATCTGTATCTTTATCTTTAGGCTGGCTGACAGGACTATTATATTTGTTGAATGGGCAGCATGCAGTGACAACAAATGACATAGAGGTTCGATTCACAAGCAATTTACTTTGTTAGGTTCTCTTACTCCCTACCTGGTGAATGTGTCAAGTATTCGTGCTACATTTTGAATTTTCAAAGCATGGAGATCATACACTTTGGGATTCTAACATTTTTATTTGTTTTCGAGATATTTAGATTAACATTTTATCTTGATTAAAACCAGCACCTTGTGTTGAGGATTATTGGGAGTGAGTCCCACGTTGGTTAATTTAGTGGAAGATCATGGGTTTATAAGTGAGGAATACTATCTCCATTGGTATGAGACCTCTTGGGGAAGCCCAAAGCAAAGTCATGAGAGCTTATGCTCAAAGTGGACAATATCGAACCATTGTGGAGAGTCGTGATTTCTAACACCTTGTGCATGTAAGACTGATGCAATTTATATGTGCCTTTGAGTATACGCTCTCATTTTTCATTTGGGCTTTCTAGCTGCGTCATTTTTTTTTCTCATTTGAATTTTCACTTGAAGGTTATTAATAATTTATTGATTTGAACTAAATTATGTAACTGGTTCTCATGTCACTTTTTCCTGTTCTTGGTCTAACGTGGTTTTATTCTGAGAAGATATGCCTAAAATCGACAGAGAAGATTAAAATATGGAATAGGCTTGCATTTGAATCTAAATTTATATTGCTTGATGTTCTCACTCGCCAAGCATCCGGAGAAGAAAAGGGGTTCAGTGATACATCACGTCATAAGTCACGTGCTCTATTCCTTTCTTTACATTGTGTCTCACGAAGTTTCTTTTTACTTCACATTTAGGAGGTATTTTGTCGCTTGCCTCTTCCCTATGTTGATGAGGAATTCAAGATTGACATAACATGGAAAGATATGGAGAAAAAGATGGAGCCACCGCCATACACCCACATAAGGCGCAGTATCCTTTTTGTATTGTTGGTTATATTTGAACTGTTATAGAAGTAAATAACAGTAGGATGATTCATAAGTAAACGTGGAAAGGCATTCTTATAATGATGTTTAAAAGTTTCTTTCAAGCTTCTCCGTCTTTGTATTCATAGAAGTTATATCTTCTATGGTCGGGCCTCATTTATATGCTTTGAATAAGTTTTTAAAACATTTTTAGATTGGTAGTTTATTATTGATGAGTAGGTTTAATTAAAATTTCATTTACAATAATCGTGCCATTTTTCTTAACTGAATTAAGATATTTATCTAGTAAAGAAAAAGCGGGATAGTGGTGTTGCTGATGGCATTGGATGCACAAACTGTAAATCTGAATGCTCGGATGACTGTGTGTGCAGGTGAGACTACTTTTATCCAAAAATGTTAGTGATTGATGTCCACCATATTGTTTTTGTATGTTTGCTATTTTCTTTAAATAAGACAGGAAGCTTGTAATGACAGATATTAAAGAATATGCAAGAGCATGCACTTGCCCAACAAGTTACCAGAAAAAACTCCAACCCAAAAGATAAGACCTGCCTGATAATTATAAAATACCCTAGGTATTGAGGTCCAAATAGAGACATTAAACCTGATAACCTCGCATATCTCCCTCACAAAACTCCCTTTATCTCAAAATACTATGATTCCCCTCAACCTAATCTTCCACACCCCTTAATAAAAGCAAGCCTACCAAAGGACTTCGCCCTTCTTTCTTAAAAGGGGAAAAGGGGACATCAAAACCTTCTCCATCATAGCCTTACCATTAATGATAGCTGTACAATTTTAATGATAGCTGTACTGGTAGCTCCAAAGAATATGGGTTTGGTGTTCTTTTACAGACCTCCACTTCCTAGTAAAACGGAACTCTTCCATCCAACCCCACTTCCAAACTCCACCAAAAATAAAAAGAGGATTTAAAGGAATACACATTGTTTGATGTAAAAGGGTCAGCCCACCCCCCCCCCTTCAAGAGACCATATTCCAAAGAAATCAATGATCGGAGCCCGAAGGAAATTCAAGCACCCAGAGACTGTCTAGAGTCAAGGATCCAATTCAACCAGCCCCTGGAGAGGATTCTTATATGACACATAATAAATGCATTCTGCACAAGCGTCTACAAGACATCTTCAAAATTTGTTTGATACGCTTTATTTCTTAAAGTTGGAGTTATTTTGGATGAATAAGTGATTTTTTTCAAATTACTTACAACAACCCATCCATCATCTGATAACGTTAGTATGTTTATAATTTGTACCTTCTTTTTTTGTATAGATTCATTATTTTCAATGATAGCTGTACAATTTTTGATCCAGTCTCTTGAGTTGTCACCGCATTTCCATCTCTGCTTCATTGTATAAGCACTGAATTAGCTGTCATTATGGCTTATTAGGGTTCAATGCATAAGCTGTTCAAAAGCTTGCCATTGCAGAGACACTTGTACGAATAGACCATTCCGTAAGGAGAAGAAGATCAAAATTGTCAAGGTAAGTTGGATAAATATATCAAATTCTTGATTTTTTAGGTATGGTTGGATAACCATTTAGTTTTTGGTTTTTGATATTTGATTTTTTTAATCTACTTTTTTTTTTTTTTACAAATATTTTTAAAATCCAAATTATGTTTTGAAAATTTAAGAGTAGTTTTAAAAACTTTAGTTTTTGTTTTTTAAATTTAGCTATCAATTCAAATGTTTCCTCTTAACAGTGATGAAAACATTGTATATAAAATGTGAGAAAACAGCAAAATTGTTCATAAATGGTTATGAGAAATAATCTTTCAATTTTTGTTAGTATTATATCTAGCAAGTTGAATTTTATTTATTTTTCTTTTCTGAATTCCACCTTTTAAGTAGTTATTTATTGATAAACCAATTTCAGACTGAATATTGTGGCTGGGGTGTGGAGGCAGCAGAGTCTATTGGTAAAGGTGAATTTGTCATCGAGTATATTGGGGAAGGTAGTTCTCGTTTTTCTTTGCATACAACATAATCAATTTATTGGTGCTACATAAATCTCTACTTTTTTTTATATATTCGTCAAATTAGGGAATCTTTATCAAAATACAAAACTTTCCCAACCTTTTCCATATCCAAGTATTTTAACATTCTTGAATAATATTTTACCTCTCAAGGGAACGTTGGTACTAAATACAAAATTTAGCAGCTAAATATTTGAGATAAACTAATGTATAATTAAATTTAGAGATAATTTAGATTAGTGACAATTTCAGTCAAAAGTAGGATATAATAAAGAAATTTCCAATTGTATGCGAATAATTATCAGAATCGACGAAGGTAGAACATCACAGAAACACCAGAAAAATATAATTTCAAACTTCGCCCTCTCCCTTGTCTGGTCAGAGTATTTGTCTCATTCTTTGTTGGCATGCTAGCAAATGATAACTCTAAACTGCACTGAATCTATTCTTGGCTTTTCCTTTGAAATGAACGACATAAGAGAATGGGAAGGTCTTGCTGCACTGACTTAAGAGTCTATCTAATGGTTGAGGTCTGAATATGTAATAGCCCAAGCCACTGGTAACAGATATTGTTCGTTTTCACCCATCTCTCCCTTCTCTTAGGAGCCATAATCTATCATAGACAACAAGCTCAGGTTACTTATTATCCTAGCACGTCATTCAGTCAAGGGAAATAAATAGTAATTGTAATAAACATGTTTCATGACTTACATCACCATAAGACTTCTATTTTCTGAGGTTCTAGAGAACGTTCAGAGCATTTCTCTCTTCTACCTTATTTCTAAATTCGACCTTTAAGGTCTTCAATAAAATCTTGGAAGTTTGATCCAATCGAGAAAATTAATTCTCAAACTTCCACCAACTTTGCTGGGTGAAAGGTCACTGAAGCAAGAAGTGGTTTCTAGATTTGAAGTGGAGATCTAACTTTTTTTTTCTTATTGCGTCTTTAATTTGACTTTGATCTGGATTTTAAATTTATGAGCAGAAAACATGCTCTTTTAGCTTCCTAGGAGAGTAGGGCATTGGAGTTCGATGAGACCGAATGTTTTCTTTTTTGCTTTCTTGAACATCATGATTATACGCTGCATTGTCTTGTTCTCAGTTATTGATGACGCTCTATGTGAACAAAGGCTTTGGGACATGAAATATAAGGGCATGAAGAATTTCTATATGTGTGAAATTCGGAAAGACTTCACAATTGATGCAACTTTCAAGGGCAATGCATCTCGTTTTCTAAACCACAGCTGTGATCCCAACTGTAGTCTTGAGAAGTGGTTAGTTGGCTTCCCCTCTGTTTAATCTCTTTTTTCTTTTTTTGCTTTTAATTGTTTTTCCTTCTGAGTTCTTTTACCTCTTGTTGCAGGGATTGTAAACTAGTTTTCATGTTTTGTTTGTAGGAATATACTCTGTTAACAATTATATATAAAATTACACAAAATGATGTTTGACACAATAGTTTTCTGCTGATGCTACCTTTACAATAACCATTTAAGATAACTGCTTTGTTGACGTACTTTGGTCTGTCACGTCAATGATGTTTATTGCGTAGTCATTGATTCTTTCCCCTTATATGTGACGGGAGGCGCAATGGTAGAGGCAAGTCACAATGCTAGCATATCTTAAAACCATCCAATTTTTCGGCAGGCGTGAATAGTAGGTCACTGCCGACTCATCTTCCAAGTGTTTATCAGTTGGGAAATCGTTTTAATTGAATATCTTTACCTTCCTCTTTGTTGCCTTTTGCAATTTATTGTTTCATGCATTTAGGTTTTGAATTGCAATGGTTTATTATGAAGTTGTTGATTCTTTTTAAGGAACAAGCTGTGCATATCAGACAAGTACTGCCTCAATGATTGCATCATTGTACAAATCCAAGATTCTCTGACTAATAATATTGGTTTTGAATAGGCAAGTTGAGGGGGAAACACGTGTTGGTGTGTTTGCTGCTCGATCAATTGAGGTTGGAGAGCCGTTAACATATGACTACAGGTACGTATTAGTACCGTCTAAAAGTTAATCATTTGTTTTTCTATTACGTATGACGACTCTAATTTGTTTGGTTGAAGCAAACGCATGCATGAATATGACTGTTTTCATGTATTTAATGTGAACCTGTGATATTCGGGATGTTTTGCGATTGTCTTTCAGTGATCATTATTTTTAAGAAGAAAACTGGTAAACACCCTCCTCCCCACCTGCCCTGCGTTTTCTTAAATATATTTTATTTTAAGTTCTTCACGAGCATGAGGAGATTTGAAACCCAAAATGTAATGTGCATTTTCCTGCCGTGAACTTACTACTAATTTGTAGCGAAAATTCAGGCTTTTGTCTCATTGATATGCTTTATACCTTTATGCTGGACCATCATCCTAGTCTTCTGTAGTAGAGGATAGGGAGGTTATTTGCTTTTTTGGCGAACAATACCCATGTTTGCCATAGGAAAACATATTTGGAATGGTCAAATACCAAGGAAATCGGTTGTCAGTTGTGCTTCTGTATTGAAAATCTAAAATAATGGGGGACATTTTAGAATTAGAACTGTGATTGGTCAGCTTGCTTATCGGCTAGGCTTAGTTGAATCTCGTACTTTTTTAATCTTATGAAACTTGTCGAGCCTTTACATTTTTGGGGGTGTTGATGCATGTATATGTTGTATTTGATATTGAACAAAGATTTTTCATCATGAAGATTTGTGCAATTTGGACCTGAGGTGAAATGCCATTGTGGTGCTTCAAACTGTCAACGCTTTCTTGGAAGCAAAAAAAGGATAACTGCCATGGACCTCTTCTGGGGTACAAAACGCAGGAGAACGTCAGCAGCTCGCATAACTGGTATAACTGTATGATTCATATTAACATGTGTGGTTGGGTCAATATCACTGTACATTAATACTCTTGATATAAAATGGGCCAAGACGCTAGAAGAAAACAAGCAAAATAAATTTGCAATGCTATTAAATTCTTTGAATTTCAACAAACCATTGTGAAGTTCTCCAGAATTTTCTTGTTGGAGAACGCTGAAATTGAGGAATACGTGTAATTGATTTTATCCGATTTATCTAAAGAAATCAAGGGATTCTTATTTAGTATTAAATGTTTCCATTGTTCTGACTCATTACAGATGATTTAGAGAGTGATGTTCAATCCGAGGATTCATTTGATAGCCTTTATGCATGTAATTTCTCTAGTCGAAAAGGGTTCACTTATTTGCTAAAAGTTGACTTTAAATCTTAACCCCACTTGGATCTGCTATAATAATATGATTTATAATAATGTGGCATAATCTATTACGTGTATGTATCCTATGTTTGGAGTTGTTCCTACTTTAACTAGTTAAAACTTGCCTGTCATGTGGTTCAAACAAATGATTCATGCTAATCAGCAAATTTTATTTTGAGCAGATTCCATTAGTCTTCCTTTGCATCTGATTCTGCCGCCTGTATTGCTAACTTTGCATCTTCAGCTAATTCCCTCTTCAAAAGTTCATAAACTCCAATCAGAAGTTCCAAGGTAATGATGAAATTATAAAAATTTGCTGCTAAGTTAGTATTAGGCAAGTAGAATAGTGACCTGCAGTGATGTTGCTCTTGACGAGGCGACCCACAAGTTTGTAAAAGAATGTCTTTAGAATACTCAGGGTGGCCTTGAACTACTATAATATAGTCTCTCTAATAGCAAATATTTGAACACCTTTCCTGTCTGAGAAACCTACGACTAGAGCCCCAAACTTCGTATTGGGGCTCTCAATTATGAACAGACCGCTTGGGATTTCCACAATTCTCACCCCAATATCCCACCCACCCTGTGTCAGCCTTCCTGACTTACCCACCCAATGCCCTACACAGCACATGTCATGACCACACAAAAGAACACTTTTCAATACAATATTCAAGTATATCTTCAACACGCAACAGTCTCTAATTTTAATGTTAATTTGCTTCATAGACGCCAAGCGTGTCGATAAGAGCCAAAAATTGTAGGGTAAAATTCTATAGTCATCATTATAGAATTGTGATTTCTAATTTGCCTACAAACTATCCTTTTGTACAATATAAAAGACTAATATTAGCCTGAATTTCATCTTTAAAAAAGAATAAAGAAAAAGGAAAAAAAAAAAGGAAAAACGTAGCACAGGAATCTGGGTTTGAACCTAAAAACAGCCCCTTTCCAATCCTCTTTGAAAAAAAGTAGAGTTTTTGCTTTCTTTCTTTTCTCCTGACCCTTAGTTCTCAAGCTTCGTAAATTGCGAAGGAAATATATTGTATTATATATATATATATATATATATGTATTTATTTATTAAGCAGGCAGACAGAAAACAGGTGGGTTTAAAAACAAGGATTTAGTGTTTTTTTTTTTTTTTTTTTTTTTGG